CCCCCCCCCCCCCCCCCCCCGCCCCCCCCTCCTCTCGTCCATTCATTCACGCTGTGTTTTCGGGTCAAACGCTCATGCACGCACACGCCTACAGGGTTTCCACTCCCGGCAGGCCCGCAGGCAGCGGAGTCGGCGAGGGCGAGCGGCGGCCCGTGTCGGGGGGAGGGCGACGCCTGGAAACGTCGACGGCATACCCCGCGGTAGGAGAATCGAGTGGTGGTGGTGGCAGCGGTAGCTGTAGCGGTAGCAGCGGCGTCCCGTACCCTCGTCCTGCAAGCGGGTCCCTTAGGCCGCCATCGTCGTCGAGGAATCCCTACGACGCACGCGATCATGCGGGACGCTCTTCCGCCGCAGCTGGCGAGGCGGCGGCAGCCGCTAGCCGGCGGTGGACCGCCCGAGGAGAGTACGAGGGGTGGGGGAAGCACCAGCCGCCGCTGCCACCGCCGCCGCCGTCTCCTCAGCAACGGCAGCGGCAGCGACAGCGACAGCGACAGCGACAGCAGCAGCAGCAGCAGCAGCAGCACTCCTTCGGCGTGGAGGACCTCGAGGAGGACGGGGTGGTCGATGATGGTCCTGAGGGCCCGGCCCCGGTTGGCGCTGCTGAGAAAGAACGGGACTCGTATGCGCTGCTGGGCGGGCGCCAGAGCGAACGTCCTTTGTCGGCAACGGCGGCGGCAGCGACGGCGGCGCTCGCCGCCGCTCCGGCGATAAGAACGGGGGCGGCCGATTGGCTTAGCGCTGGCGAGGACGACTATCGCGGCGGCGCCGCCGTCTGGAGGGATTGGACGGCGCCGGCGCCGGCGGTGGGGGCGGCGCCCGAAGCGGCCGGCGCTTTCTCGGCCCCTGGCTCCTTCAGAAGCGGAGCAGCAGCAACGAAGTTCAGCGGAGGGGATATGTTTGGCTTGGGCGAAGCAGCGCTGGGAGGCCCCGCGCATGGCCGAAGGGGAGAGGCAGGAGCGGCGGCGAGAGGTGCGCCTGGGAGAGGTCTGCTGGAGGGAGGCGGGGTGTATGGTACCGGTGGTGGCGGAGGGGGGGCTCCGCGGAGGAGCTTGGAGGTGGACCGGGGGGCCCTGCCGGAAGCGTTGGCGGGAACACTGGATCACATCGTGGGTCAGCTCGACATGTTGACGAGGACAGTCGGGCTCCTCGAGCAGCGCCTAACCCTGACAGAAGACAGGCTTCAGCAGGGGGAGAGGGCCGGGGACGCCTCACCCTGACAAGAGCACAGGCTTTAGGAGGGGAATGGGCCGGGGAAGATCCACACTGAAGGCTGGGAGTTTTTGTTGGCGTCGGTAACGTCGGGTGTGTTCTGCTGCCACGCCAGGCGGGAGAGATTTTTGTGTGTTGTGTTTTTTTACTGTTCGGCGCGGAATTGTCACACTCGTTTTACCGCGGGACGGACGACATATATATTTTTAGGTCTTTTGTTTGGGCTACTTTTGCGCATCGGCTATGACATTAGATTCTTTTTTCTTGCCCACACACGCGGGAAGTTGGGGGCGATACCTCAAGAAGTGGGTAGGGTGCCACCTTGAAGCCCTGGGTAGATCGGCCAAGTGCCTGCAATTGTTTGTTCTATTGATCAAGGAGTTTCGGCCAATCAGATTCTAGCTACATTTGGGAGACACCAGGAAATTGAGCTCGCCGTCTGTCATGGTTTGTGAGGGTCACTTGCTCCGATTGGGGGCCAGCCCGGCGTCTTTTGTTCCCTTATGTATGCCTAGGCGGTGCGTGGGTGTCTTTCAATTGGCACCGGGGCGAGGGGCAACAGTTTCCACTCACTGTGCAATTTCTAGGACAATACAGAACGCGCAGGCACTTAGGAACCTCTATTTTTCTTTCGGCCGAGGCTGGGGTTCTTACTGTATTCCGAGGGGTCATGCTACGAGCAGTCGCTATGTAGGTTTTAGTGCAAGGGTTCTTAGCTGAGCTCACAATACGGTGCTCAAGTTCTTACATTTGTTTGTTTGTAGGCCCATATTCTTAACTCCTGGGTTCATAAGTGCGGGCGCGATCTGTACTTCGAGTAACGGCGATATTTTCTTTTTTTTTTGGCGCTGGGGGGGGGATTTGGCTTGTCATTCGCCTCCCTTTGGGGACGTGTGAATAAATGAACGCTGAAAAGATTCGCTTGTGGATTGTTCTTTTGTGGTTCTCTTCGGTGGCCTCTTCTCCTGCGCGTTGATGGCAAATAGTAGAAGTACAATGTACAAGGATTGCTTTTTTTCAGCCGGCCCGTTTGCTTGCGGCGACTGTCGTGATCTTTACCAAGTAAAGCTAACATCGTCCGTTTTTTCACTTTGGCCTTGTCCCTCGCCCTGAAGCCGTTTATTATGTTTGTCGAGAAGCGTTGGCAGTGATCCATAGAGGGTTGTAACGGGGAAGGGGGGGGGGGGGG